TCTCTTATCTCTCCTAAATCACTATCCATCAACTCCTCCCTCTCCTTGTTACCGTAAGGAGTCGGTCTCAAACAATATCATCAATTGAATGCTACAAGTCTCTCGATCTATTCTTTTGAAGTAATACATATATCCGACCTCAACACTGCGAAAGAGGAATTGTTGTCGAAAGAGAACATCTCGATAGTCTTGGTAAAAAGAGGATTAATATGGCAAAAAGGAAGAAGAAAAAATATAGGAAAGAGCATTGGATATGTACTTTAGGGTCGGGAGCTAAAGCTAGTCCTAAGTCGAAGCCTCGCCAAGAACAGCACTTAGTCCATAGACTCGAACTAAACCTTGCTAGGTTTAGAACCAATCACGCGAAAGTCGTATCCCAGACCCAATCACGTTTTTTAGCCCTGATGAACTCGACCCACCAGCACACCCAAGCGCACGGACTTCCACAACCCATAGATGCCTTCGGCTCAAAGCACTTGTCCAGCCCGCGTCCAGCAGACACTTCCTGTAGCAGCCCAACTCACATATAGTTAGACCCGATCCAAAGTTCACCAACACGCACCTCGCCCTAACCCGAAGCTACATGCGGATGATTAATTGGTGCTATTAGGTGAATTAATCCATTTAACATATTCTTACCCGATTCGAACTAGTACCAAGAATAAATTAGTGACTTCGACTTAGGTCAACTAAGTAAGTCGCTTTCTATTGGTTGATTGAACGATTTGATTATTATTACTATACTTGTTGTGATTTTATAATTGTTTCATGTGATGTTATGTTTATGCTATAATATTAGATATGATGTGATACAAGTTATGTTATATAGTATGTCATGTAATGATTGTGTTACGTTATCGATGTTGTATGTTGTATAGAACTCCATATACCATGTCATGTCAGATATGTAATACGTTCACCCATATTGCCTATGAGACATTAGAAAACCACGTATGTTAATTATGAAAGATATGACAAGTTGTTATGTATTCATGTCTCATAGGACGTTACCGTCATAAAAAAAATGGAGGTATGACTTGCGTCATACGTCATACGTATATGTCATGAATTGATACTATGGGACCTTATGCATTTTGCGTGTTATATGCATCAGGATACTTCCCCCATTATGATGAGTAAGAAGACGTACATTAAGATATCTATATTTCGCCATCATATTATGTGGGCTCTTTTACCTCTGTGGTTCCAGCAGCGTGAGTGTGTTAGCTTAAAGACAGATTCAGGGGATATGTATATGCCTGCCTGGAGGCTCCATGTGCACGGGTGTGGGTTGTATGTAGAGGAGTAGAACACATCTAATTTTTGCTGGGACTGAAAAGTAGAGTTCAAGACCATGAAATATTTTTATGAAAAGACAGATCACAGAAACAGTGAGGCTACTTATTGAGTATTTTTAAATACTCAAGCCACATGCTATTTTTTTTCAAATAAAGGTAAGGCAACCCCGTATGGATGATGACATTGCTATAGAGGTCATGGATCCAAAGCTAGGATTGTTGCATTTACATTCACATTGTAGTTGTTAGATCAGATGAAGACGTTTTTTTTTATACTTTTCATGGATTGTTACCTTTATTTGAAATGGATTTTTAGAACGTTTAAGTCCATAGCATCATTTTTAAATTTTTTAAATGAATGTTTCCGTGCATATTAGACATGTCGTGCATGTAGTGGCAACCTTATCTTTAATTAAAAAATAGGGTTGTTACAGAGCCACAACATTTTCTAACGACTCTAGCTCGGCTTCTTGACTGATCCGACTTGGATCTAAGATACTCAGAATCTTTGCTACCATTTACAATTCTTCTCGAGACATTTTTGACACTTTGGGAGGGGTTTAAGGTTAGTATAGCTACTTTGTAGCTTATTTAAATTATTTGGAGCTAAGTTTAGATTATTTTATGCAAATTAGTTTAGCCAATTTTCATGGTAGAATTCTAAGTTATGGTTGTGGGACTCCTTAGGTAGAATTAGATTTCGAAGAACAACGTTGAGCTAGCATCAAAGAAACATAGTGACTTTGACTTAGACCGACCAAGTAAGTAGCTTCATTGTTGGCTTGATTGGATGACTTGTTTGTTTTATGAACTACAAGTGCCCTATGGCCCCTACACATATTGTATTTTATGATTGTATGATGTATACTGTGTTATGTATATGTTATGTTGCGTACAAGTTATGTTATGAAATCATATATCCAATGTTAAGAATAATGACATGAAACTATGTCATGTTATCAATGTTATTTGATGCATGAATCTTCAGTACCCACCATGTAAACTATGCTAATATGTATGCCTTTTGCTTATGAGGCACAATAAAATAATGTATTGTTAATTATAAATAATATGACAAGAATCAAGAATGTCACATAGGAATGTCATGAATATATGTCATTTTTTATTGTTACAGGATCTCATTCATTTTGTATGACATGTGCAACGGGATACTTTCTCGTTATATTTAGTACGGACACATACCTTACGATATCTATGTTCATCATCATATTATGTGAGTCCTTTTCCTCTGTGGCATTCGACAACGTGAGCGTGTGGTGTGCTAGCCCGACAAGCAGGTCGAAGAGGTATGTATACGAGCCCTCCTGGTGGACTATGTGCGTGTGTATCGACTGTGTACAGGAAACTATTACACATCCAACCCTGCACAGACTAGAAAGTAAAGCCCACAGTCATATATTGATATTTTTATGAAAAGATAGGTCTTGACGTAATTGATTGTGTTTGCATTTCCTGACCAAACAATGAGATTTTCAAATACTCAAACCCTATGCTATTTATTTTTAGATAAGGGTAAGACACCCGTGTATATGTGAAGGCCAAAGAACTGAAACTACATTAGTTACATTTATGTTTAAATTATAGTCTTTAAGTTATATCCAAGTTTTGTATTATTTTATTTTAATTTATATTATCGATTTTTCTACTATGTTGTTGATAACAATATTGTTTTAAATGAATTTATTATGAGCATTTAAGTCCATGACATCATTTATGAAATATTTTTTATAGACTTTTCTACACATAAAAGGCATGTCATGCATGTAGTGAGGTTATTACATGTCAATGGGGAGATAAATCTCCAAAGTACTTTTGTATACTTAGGAAAAACAATAAATGTTTATTAAAAAATGGGTTAGTCGGAAGTTGGAAATGTCGTGGGATTTTTGAATCATGGACAAAAGTTCTAATTAAGCTTAGATCAAAATATCTTTAGTTCCAAAACATTAAGAATTATCCACAGTAGAAATACTATGGACCAAATAAAGTCATCAGAATCATTTTCAACGAGTCCATAAAAGTGATCCCATTTTTTTCATGGGGTTCGGATAGAGACCAAAGGTCTTGAACGACCGATACGGCAGAACAACTCAAAAGATAAAGAAGTATCGTTAATTTCTTCATGCTCGTTCCAAGTTCGAAGTACCATTTGTACAAATAAGAACCCCATTTGTTACATGATTTCTTCTTCATATAGATTGAGAAGATTGAAAAGATGTCATACAAGGTTCAATTGTTTTAATGGAACCTTGTTGTCCATGTAAGTAACTTGAAGTCCTACAATTTCGTTCAACAAGATACCAGACATAATGAAGTGGTATGACTTCCTACCGCAATGAAAAATGAGAAGAACGTAGAAGAGATCTTGGTTGAGAAGACGTAGTGCATCGAAAACTTGAGTGAAAATGTACAAGAATTCCTTTTAAACTAGACTCTTTAATGTTGTGTTTCGTTAGAAATGCGTTGAAATGGTGGAAGTCAGCTGCAATCCACGTTTATTATTAAGATATGATATTTGGAGATATATTTTAGGTTAGATTTAGATTTGATTAACAGTATATTTTATTTATTTACAAGATTTAGTTAGTTATATATTTTTCCTATTTTTAAGTATTAGGTGATAGTTTGTATCCTAAACGTGGTAAACATGAATGAAGATCATACGATCCCAATTCTATTTCTATTTCTCATTTTTAGCATGGTATGCGTGTTCTTAAATATCAAAATTTCCTTTATGGCCGAATCAGCCAAATACAGCTCCAAAATTTCGGATGTTGATTTAACACATCCTTATTATATTCATCACTCTGATCAGCCAGTATATTCACTTGTTCTAATCAAATTAAATGGAGAAAGTTACCAATCCTAGAGTAAATCAGTTATGCAGACTCTTATTGCCAAGAAGAAAATTGACTTCATTGATGGCACAATTGAAGAACCGCCCCAAGATGCAAATTCAACCGAATTTGAACTCTAGAATCAGTGCAACAATATGATAATATCTTGGTTAACTCATTCCGTTGAACCAGATATCATTAAAGGTATTATTCATGCCAAGATAGCTCATCAAGTGTGGGTTGATCTTCACGATCAATTCTCACAAAAGAATGCTCCAGCAATTTTTCATATACAAAACTCGATAGCAATGATGTCACAAGGAACCATGACACTGTCAATATATTTCACCAAGCTCAAAGCACTTTGGGATGAACTGGAAGCGTACCGCACACCATTTACCTGTAATCAACGTCAAATACATATTGATCAACGTGAAGAAGACAAGTTGATGCAATTGCTTTGGGGCTCAATGAGTCTTATAAAACGGTGAGATCTAACATATTGATGATGTCTCTATTACCTAATGTGAGGCAAGCCTATTCATTACTTGTACAAGAAGAGATGTAGCGTCAGGTAACTTCTGAACTTACTGAAAATAACTCGCTTGTGATTGCATCAACAGTGCAGAAGAAAAATACATATTCAAAATTCGCCAAGGACAAATCGTGTGAACACTGCAATAAAAGTGGTCATACAATCAATGAGTGTCGAGTCCTTAAGCTTCACTGTAAGTTTTGTGATAGAAGGGGACATACAGAAGATCGGTGTTGACAGAAAAATAATTCTGGAAGGACAAGACAAGTCAATCAACACAATAATCGTGGATATCGATCATCTGGAAATATGACTGATGTTTTTCAGTTGAATACAGAAGAACAGTCACCTAATTCCATTCCAAATTTTTCTTCTGAGCAATTACAACAGATAGCAAAAGCCTTATCTGTAATCAAGCATCGCCCTTCTGGTAATTCTGACAATCACATCAATGTTGCAGGTTTGTTTCCCATACCTACATTATCTATTAACCCTGCGAGTTCTAATTCATGGATTCTCGATAGTGGAGCTACGAATCATATAGTATCAAAATCTTTTGTTATGACTGAACCAAAGGCTGTCATCATGTCTACAATAAATTTGCCTAATGGAGAGACAGAACGTGTGTCACATACTGGCAATATTTCCCTTAGCCCTAACCTTAAATTAAACAGCGTTTTATGTGTGCCTTCATTCAACTTAAACCTAATGTCCATCAGCAAACTTACCAATGACTTGAAATGTTATGTCACCTTCTATCCTGATTCTTGTGTTATGCAGGACTTGGCTACGGGGAAGATGATTGGCTCTGGTAAATAATTTAGAGGTCTCTATCATATTTCTTCATCTCCAATCAAATCTTCAGCTCATCAAGTATCTCAGTCATCTGATTTTTGGCATTTACGCCTAGGTCATCCTTCTTTTTCTCATTTTAAATTTTTAGCTGATCAATTGCATCTTAATAATGCGAGTTATTCTCATAATTGTAGTATCTGCCCGTTAGCAAAACATACTAGGTTGTCTTTCCCAAGAAGTTCAATAACAACCCATTCGGCCTTTGATTTGATACATTGTGATGTTTGGGGACCACATAAAATTTCTACCCATTCTGGTTTGCATTTTTTCTCACTATTGTTGATGATTTTACTCGATGTACTTGGGTTTTTCTAATGCAACATAAGTCAGAAGTACATCATTTGTTAATGAACTTTGTTAAATTCGTTCAAACTCAATTTCATACTACTATCAAGATAGTTTGATCAGACAATGGGACTGAGTTCCTATCTTTGCAACTATTCTTTACTTCTTGTGGCATTGAATTTCAGCGCACTTGTGTCTATACTCCACAACAAAATGGAGTCGTAGAACGTAAGCATTGTCATATCCTAAATGTAGCTAGGTCTCTTCTTTTTCGTTCACAAGTTCCACTTAATTTTTGGGGAGAGTGAATTTTAACGGCTGTTTATCTTATAAATAGAACGTCATCACCATTGTTATCTAACGAGACACCCTTTAAAGCACTCTACAATCGACCACCTACATTTCATCATCTTAAAGTTTTTGGTTGTAAATGTTATGCAACTACAGTACATCTTAAGCAAAAATTTGAACCTCGGGCAATTCCTTGTGTTTTCGTAGGATATCCTTGTGGTCATAAAGGTTACAAGTTGTATGACATGCAATCTCACAAATTCTTTATCAGCCGTGATGTTAAATTTTGTGTAGATGACTTTCCTTTTTCATCAGCTTCACAAACTTTGACATTAGCTCCTTCCACTCCTATTGTACCACTTCATGATCCATCCTACTCAAACATCCATCCTCCACCTTCTATTCCTTCACCTTCTATCCCTTCACCTACTACTTCATCGTCTCCTCCACCTTCTCCAGATTCGCCCACTACTTCTAATCCTATCCCACCTGATACATCAGCTCCACTCCGACGTTCTACTCGTACTAAATAGCCTTCAGCTTGGTATAAGAATTATGAGATGTCTTCTGGAGCCAATCATTTAACCTCTAGCTCAAGTCCCGACACTAGCACAAGGTATCCCCTTCATCATTACCTTTCATTCTCTCTTTTTTCTCCTACTCAACGTGCTTTTCTAGCTCTTATTACATCCCAGATAGAACCTAAAACCTATGACGAGGCCGTTGGCGACCCGTTATGGCAGCAGGCTATGAATGTGAAATTGCAGCTTTGGAACGTAATCATACATGGTCTCTCGCTCCTCTACCACCTAGTCATAAAGCTATTGGTTGTTCTTGGGTGTACAAAATTAATTAAAACCCTGATGGTTCTGTTGAACGTTATAAAGCTCGACTTGTAGCAAAGGGATACACTCAGGTTGAAGGTATTGATTACACAAAAACATTTTCTCCTACAGCGAAACTTACTACACTTCGTTGCCTACTCACTGTTCCTGCTGCTAAAAAATGGTTCACCCATCAGTTGGATGTTCAAAATGCCTTTCTCCATGGTAATCTAGACGAGAAAGTCTATATGTCTTTACCACCCGGTCTTTGCCGACAGGGGGAGAATACAGTATGTCGGCTCCATAAATCTCTTTATGGATTAAAACAAGCTTCTCGCAATTGGCTCTCCATATTTTCTCAACTATACAAAATGCAGACTACACTCAATCCAAAGCAGATTACTCTTTATTTACTAAGAGTAAATGTGCTTCTTTCACTGCAGTTCTAATCTATGTTGATGATATTCTATTGACAAACAATGATCTCAAAGAAATTCAATATCTCAAGACTAGTTTACTCCAAAAATTTCTTATCAAAGATTTAAGAAATTTGAAATATTTTCTAGGCATTGAATTTTCTTGGTCTAGAAAAGGAATTTTTATGTCTCAAAGGAAGTATGCTCTAGACATTCTTCAAGACACAAGTCTTACAGGAGCACGTCTAGACAAATTTCTTATGAAGCAAAATCTGAAATTTTCTTTAACGGAAGGAGAGAAGTTGAATGATCCAAGTAAATACAGACGATTGATTGGCAGATTAATATATTTGACCGTCACTAGGCCTGACATAGCTTATTCAGTTCGTATGCTTAGCCAATTTATGCATGAACCAAGTAAACCACATTGGGAGGCAGCTCTTCGAGTTCTGAGATACATCAAAGGAATTCCTAGTCAAGGACTTCTACTACCATCTGAAAACAATTTAAGATTACAAGCATATTGCGATTCTGATTGGGGTGGCTGTCGAACTTCCAGACGGTCTATTTATGGGTTCTGTATTTTCCTCGAAAATTCAATTATTTCTTGGAAGTCTAAAAAGCAGACTAATGTGTCCAAATCATTAGCAGAAGCTGAGTATCGAGCTATGGCAAATACTTGTTTAGAGTTAACTTGGTTAAGATATATTCTTCAAGACTTGAATGTTCCACTGTCCGAACCAGCATTATTATATTGTGATAATCAAGCAGCATTACATATAGCAATCAATCCATTTTTTCACGAACGTACGAAACACATTGAAAAAGATTGTCATATAGTTCGAGAAAAGTTACAAGCTGGAATCATCAAACCGTGCTATGTTTCGACTAAAATGCAATTGGCAGGTGTTTTTACTAAAGCTTTGAGAAGACATCAATTTGATTTTTTGAAGGACAAGTTAGGTGTGATTGACACACACTCTTCTTGAGGGGAGTATTAAGATATGATATTTGGAGATATTAATAATTAGTTAGGAGTATATCTGAGATATTTAGAGATTGTTAGTAGTATATTTTAGGTTAGATTTAGATTTGATTAACTATATATTTTATTTATTTACAAGATTTAGTTAGTTATATTATTTATTTACAAGATTTAGTTAGTTATATTATTTATTTACAAGATTTAGTTAGTTATATATTTTCCTATTTTTAGGTATTAGGTGATAGTTTGTATCCTATTTAAACTGGTATACATGAATCAAGATCATACTTTCGATCCCAATTCTATTTCTATTTCTCATTCTTAACATTTATGTTTTTGTACAATCTCGTTTGACTGTAACGTCAATAAATTAATATGGAGAAGATGTCACAATCATGCTTGTCTAGAATATGTTGCCTCTCGTTGTATGCCCATTCCAAACCTTTTTATCTTGTTATGTATTGTAAGTAAATCACGGTTTGTAATGTCCGAAGTTGAAAAAGAATTTAGAAAAAAAATAAAAGATAATAGTTAAGGAAAAGGAACTGAAATGGT